TTTCTTCAAAATGACTCTTGCCTCAAACAAATAGTATTAGTAACGATAGCGTTGATTGTAAAGGAAAAATGTTATTGTGTTTTTCTATTTCTAATAAGAACAATCAAAAGTGTCCCAAAGTTTAAGATAAAAATGTATATTAGTCATTGTTATCTGTTTATCCATTAGGCAGCAGCTCTGAAAAGGATAGAAAATCAACAGCTAGTGGGAATGGTTTATTAGGGAATGAATCTAAAATAGATGCCCCGGGGATAGTGAATCTAACTTATATGATGGGAAAATGTGAAGAGTCGTTAATTTATATTATGCTGCTTGGCTCTTCTATCATGTGCTGGAAAAACAAAATCTCCAAGCACCGCTCTCAGTTCAGCATGGCCAACAAGAGACTAGCGCGGTTGCTGGGGCTCAAATGTTCATAATAAACCTCAGTGAGGAATAATTTGAAAGAACCCAAATGCCAAAAGGCAGTGGAGAGTGAAAACTCCAGGGCTGCAGGATGTTATCTGATCAGACATCCACTGCATTGTCCTCTATCAAAATGGTGCGCAAATCGCTGATGTGAGGTCTGGGACCTCTGTGGTGGGATTGAGCTTGGACTGAAAGTCAGCGGCTCAGCGTTTCCTTTCTTCTTTATAAAACAGCACACAACAGAGGGCAGAGGCTGACAAACTTTAACGGTAAAAATTACTCAAGCCTGTTGAAGTGCTGCCCAGTCGGAAACGTCACCCTGTCAGCTCACCCATGACTTCCATTCTCCAATAGTTGTCCTCTGAAAATCCTCATCTTCAGAATCCTATCTTAGGAGGACCATCTTGAAGCCTACTTAGAACTGTAAGTACTTTTAAGTGTCAACTCCAAAATCAACATGAACTCTACACCTTGCTTTTGTTGTTTACACACACACACACACACACACACACACACACACACAGGTATTTGCAGCACTCACCTGGAATTTGGGCAGAAAGCAGTCACCCCATCGTCTTGCATTCTGCGCTTCCCTCATCCCAGACATTGCCACCACCACGCCAGCTAAACAACGGTGAGAGCTAGCGTCTGTGTCCCTGTTGATAATGCCATGCCATCTTGAGCTCAATCTACATGACTTTCCATGTCCTCCCCAGTTCATGCTGCTCTGGGCAATGTGGCCAAGTGAAGCTTCCGCACAAGCCACTGTTTCCCCACGGCTCCGTTTCCCTTCCCACAGCACATGCTGTTTCCACCCAGTTCTGAAGACAAAACCCATAAAGGACCTTGTGTTTCGGAGGGATCAAACTGGCCTGTCTGCGACACAGAAAGTGTGAGTGAGATGGGGAAAGGGAGAGGAGAAAGACCCAAAAGAGAGACAAGAAAGACAAAGTGGGGGAAGCAGGGAGAAATAGCCCCTTGCCTGGCACACAGGAGTGGAAACTCCTTTTCCTCCTGGCGGCTTTGGGGACGAGTGAGTCACATGTTTCACACACACCCTAATGACTTAGAGCCTACTGTTTTCACAGTCAAGAATGGCCATCCCCTGAAGCGCACAGAATAACTCTTTGTCCCCACGACCACCTACAGCTTGCATGCAAAAGCCATCATTCTGAGTCATAGCAGCTCAGCCTCTCCACAAATTCATTTTCTATACATAGAGCCCACAGCAGACTCCAGCGTCACTGAACAAGTCAGAAGCATCTTCCACTTGTAAGCATTAGTTCTGAAAGCACGAGTGAGTGTCTTTTTCCAGCCAGAATTTAAATAGAGGTGGTTTGACTGTGTCCCCGTGTTTCATTTTTAGTGGTAGAACCAGTACAGAAAGAAAGTCCATATTAAAACTAAAAGGAATCATAAAATCAAAACTATAAAGCATTAACCACAGCCTCAAGTATTTTAAAGTAAAATCTGTTTGGTGAATCTAGAGCAACAAGCCAAAGTAATTGCCATCAGTGGAAATCAGCCCTTAATTCAATTCCCTATTTTAATGTGTCTGGATAATTCACTCTATGCAATTCAAACAGGTTTGGAATGAGGAAGAGAGAAAAACACAATACTGTAGGAAGGTCTGAGTGTTTCCAGAGATGGAGACTCTGGTACCATCTGCTAGGATTAAGGCAGTTTCCAAATTCTCCTTTAATTTAATTTTCTATGTTTGAAAATGAAAGTGACAGATGAGTCAATCCTGAAAAGATGATACTGAAGTGAACCATAAAGATACAATGGTAGGGTTGTGCAACTCTCCAGTACATCTTAAGAGAATAACTCATTAAGTTAATTAAGATTACAATAATTTAATAAAGGTCACTCAAAATAGCACAACTGGAAGTATTATTTGAATTTAAAATTTTTACCCATGCCGTTCCCTCAAAGACAGCTCCGAGTCATGAATGGCTACAGTCTAACTGGGGTGGTCAGACTCTCAAACACTGAGACCTCTGTTTCGACAGATTCTTCTGCCGTGTTCAGGGTGGATGCTAGGAATACTCAGGGGTGGAACTCGTACCACCCTACTGAAGAATTCAAGAAAGGCCCTGGGTCTCCTATAAGCAATGTCCAAACGCTGCACTCGGCAATGGAAATGAGGAACTGACAGAAGCGCATCATGATTAATACCAAAAAAGAGTCGTGCTTGGCACTTGGCACTAATTGAAATGGAGAGTGATACTGAGTTGCGGAGCTCCCAAAATTTAGGGTTTGTGTCGTGTGTAAACAATGTTTTAAAGTTCTTTTTCTCAAACTAAGAAGCCTTCCAAGTTGGTCCCAAGGAAGCATTCTAGTCTATTGTGCCAAGAAAACAAGAGCAGTAACTACTTATACAAATAATCTTAGGATGGAAATTGGTAAGACTAGGAGCTGTGTCTGAAGTACGTGAAGAATTAATATTGAACACTTATGGACTAATTTAAATTACATTTTAAAACAGAATTGTAGTTATTGCCTGCTTTGGATCCTATTCCTTCTTTTTAGTCTTCATGTGTTGTGGTACTACAGATTGAATCCACAGTTCCATAGACTTAAGGCTAGTACCCCACTTCTGAGCGGTGTCCCTGAACAGTAGTTTGGACCGCCTGGGTCTCTAAAGAGTTTAAGGCTAAAGGAGTGGTGGCTAGCCTGAGGGCCTGTGGAGACCTGGTGGAGCCCTTGGAGGTGTGGTTAAAGAAGGAAGTCAGTCCTTCAGGAGCAGGCCCTTGGAGATTACACTGGATTCCTAGACCCTTGCTTCCTCTCTCTGCTTACCAGTCACCCTGAGGGAAGGGAAGCAGCTTTGTTCTACCATATACTTCTGTCTTGACTGCCTGCCTCCTCACACTCAACAACTGCAGAGTCAGGTGACCATGGACTGAAACCTCTGAAACCTGGACCCAACCAAATCTTTCCTCGATGTGAATTGGTTTTCTCAGGGTGTTTGTTTGTTTGCTATGTTTCCATAGCAACAGAAAACTGACCAAAGATGATCTATAACTTCATTGTTTCTTGACCCAATTTCCCTTTTTATCTCTACCTTAGCCTTCCAGCTACCAGGTGAACATTTCTATTTAGATAGCCCTACCCACCTTGAAGCCCTGGTTTCATCAAAAATATTCTAATTTCCCCTGGTAAGCCCTGAATGCTTCCATCATGTTCTTAGCCTTCCTAGTCAGACACCCAAAAGCCTTAAGTCCTGATCTTTCCCCTTCCAAGCACAATCAATCTTCAAATCTAACATATTCTCGCGTCTTCAAACAGCTCTCTTGTTCTGTTCCTTACTGCTCCTATTAAAATTCTATTTCTCCAAAATATTCCCCACACTATTTGAAAATTCACCTTCCCTTCTTTCAGACTTGCTAAATCCCTTTGGGTTCTCGGTGCTCACTCTAGAGTAATGCACCTAAAACACCCACGACTTCCAGGTGAAAGCTCCTCAGTCTTGGTGTTCCCCCCCTAACCATACACACATGCACCGGAATGGAAGGTTCCACACTGCTGCACAGTTATCTGCTTTTCCGTTTAGGTTTTATGGCCTTAGCCCCCTGATCCTGCCTGCGGTACCCTCTCTTCCTCTGCTATTTCTATGGCTCATTTCTGTTCATCTTTCAAAAGCCATTTCAGGGCTCATCTTCTGGAGCCTGCTTGACGAGATGCCGTCCTTCAGATCTGGGGTACATTAGAAGCTTGGTGCCGTCTTTAATGCACCATCAATATGCTTGTATCCTTCTGAAGTTGGTCATACTTTTTTTCATAGTTCTATTACTAGCATTTGAGAGACACTTGTTGAGTGCTCATTGACATTGCTTTTTGAGAACATAGCAAGGTTTATTGATAAACTCTGGGGTAAAACACATTGAAAAGTTTAAGAGTATTTTGGAAGATTATAAACAATCACAAGTAATACTGAGTGTACAGTATGGGTTCATATAAGCTAAGCCATCTGAGCCTTGGAAGGCCAGGCATGGTTTGTATAAAGACTGACAGACCCTAGCTACCTAAGAATTCTCAGAAATACAGCAATACTGCTGTGCTTTGCTTGCTTGTTTTTAGCCTTTGTCTTGGGTTTTTTTGTTTTTTTTTTTTGAGGAGGAGGAGGAGTGTGGAGTTGTTTAATTTTATACAGTGTCTCACTGTGTAGCTCTGGCTGGCCTGGAACTATGCACACTAGAGTGACATTTAATTCACAGAATACTGATTGCCTTGAGTGCTAGGACCAAATGTATGCCAGCAAACCCAGTTTTACGGTGGTCTTCTGTTGCTGTTGATTTAGGAATGTGCATAAGTGTGTGTGTGTGTGTGTGTGTGTGTGTGTGTGTGTGTGTGTGCGTGCTCAAATATATATCCATAGATCAAAGTTTCACTTAAAATAACTTCCAATTTGGTTAAAATAACCAATTCATTTGCAACTAAAACTTCTCCCCCAAAGAAAATCTCTTCATTTTCATTCATACAGAGAATTCTCAGGAACAGTTCGCTATTCACTCTCTGAAGAAGCGGATTGTGGCAGACAGACCCACTAATCTAACTACTAAAGAGAAAACGCAGTCAACCACTCTCACCTTCAGGAGATTCACTGGTCAGGAGCCTCCCAAGGCGCCCCTGATTTCTACGCCCTCCTTTGCTCAGGATGATGTCAGCAGCTGAGAGTAGTCTTGATCAAAGCCTTCAGCAGGCAGAGGTACTGGATGTCACTGGAGAATGTCACCAAAATCCCTGAGAAGGAAAAAAAAACCACAAAGGAATGTAAACTATTGGGAGTCAGTTAATTCTATTAAGCTGAGATTTCCTTTTTATTATTAACCTAAAATCAACAAGGGAATTTAATACACAAGAAAATTCTATGATTAGTTTCAACCAAATATTATTGCATTTCTAGGCATTACTAATTCTAAGAACTTTAAGTAATTTAAGGGATAAGGGTAATGAAAAAAGGGTAATTTAATTCCAGTTACATTTCAGTGGGGCAGAGATTACTTCTAAATTTGAATTACTTCTAAATAGAAGCAAACAATTGCGCACACTAATCAGAAAAGAAAAAAGAAGAGGACTGGATCTTGTTCTCCTCCAGCACTTCATGGTATTGAATCATTTCTTACAAACACTTCAACACATTAGAATCTGAGATAGACTGAGAAGAGCAAACAATGAAGAACTCAGCATTTGAACAAGGTCAACGATAACAGAGTTTGGTAGTGCCATTCCATCTTAGAGATGGTTTTGAAGGTGATGGGAAAAGATGCACTTGGAAATAAAAGGATTACTGAGCACACTGCAGTAAGGGGGAAAAAATCAGGGAAGGTAATAAGGACTGTTTTGTACTGTTAAACAGTACAAAATCTTAATTAAATGGAATCCACCAGGCAGGAGCGCTTGAATAGTGTGTTTATTTAATTCCTCTCCTCTATCAGAAAGAGGAAAACTCACCCACTGATAGGGTTGTTTAGAAAGCTGCTATTACCAGAATTGCAACCCCACAGGGAGAAGAACTAGAGCTAAGAATTTCAGACCTTTTCCCACGAATCAGGTGGAGTTGGACTCTCCAACTGCCCCTCCAACCAACTGCGCTCTAGGTGAATTTGAAGACAATACTGTTGGGGTGAGAAGGCTGGGAAGATGGCTCAGTGGGAGAGCACGCAGGGTGAGGCCCTGAGTTTGGAGACCCAGAACCATGTAAGCTGCCTATAGTGTATGTCTGTAATCCCAGAACCCCTGCAGTGACACAGGAGGTGGGGACACAAACCTCCACAACCTCTCCAGACAAACCTGGCATGTGTAGCCATGGACAAAAGGCTCCGTCTCAAATAAAGGGCAAGGCAGGGGTCTAGAGTTCAGATTGTCCTCTGACTTTGTCATCTCCTGGTCTTTTCTGTGTCACCACATTGAAAAGTAGAAACAGAAAGGTCCCCGGTACGTTTGGATTTCATCTGCATTTGTTTGTCGGAGGGTTAAAGTCTTATGGAGTGATTAGTAAAGGCCGAATACTGAATACTGAGTACTGTTTCAGCTCAGACAAATATCAGAGGAGTCGTCACCAAAATCTGCCCTACATGACTCAGCCCAGCTGATGCCTGAATTTAAATGTGGCACTGCAGTCTCTGGAATGTCCTCTGTCACAGCCGCTCTGATACTTATCTTCCTTCTTCTGAAAGGAGGACCTGCGCTGCAGCTTGCTCATACACCTCACTTGTACTCTGTGGATCATTCCCTTTCTTGAATGGCATTGCTACTGACTATAACAAAGTCTGATGTAAAAACAGTACGCACATTAGATTGACTTTGGTTAAGAAGCTAATGCAAAGACATTACTGCCTCTGAAATCTGGGCACATTTTAATTTCATTGCATTACAATTATCTCCAGTGCTCTTTATGATAGTAACAAAAAGGGGTGATTGTCATTAGACAGTGCTAGAAAGAAACAAAACAATGGTAAGAAACATAAAAACACAGGTGATGGGAGGCTGGAAGGTCACTGAGTCTAACCATCTCTCTGCCTATGGTCCATTCCGTGCTTCCGAGGCTCCATATAGAGCTGACTCTCTCTCCTTACACTTGTTCCTCACTGGTTCCAATTCTGCCCCCAGGAGCCGGACTCAGACTCCCATTCTAATGTGAACATCCCAATAATAACCCACTGTCCTGAAAAAGAAGGGTGGGCTGTGTCTTTAGCAGGGCCAGTCAATGATGGGGCTCATGGCTTCAGGAACACCTCTGAGGTGGGGGGATGGCCCACTAAAGAGCTTCACACAGAAGTCTCTGTCCTAGAAAGGTGACAATAGACCAAGCCACTCAAGCTGAGTTACCCTGGAGTTTGGGTAGTATACTGAGGCTACAGGAGAACCTATGCAGAAGGAAGCAGAAAAGACAGGTGGGAAATGGGAAGCAGACAGTGCCTGAGGTTATCTCAACCTGTCAACGCCCCACCTTCCAGATCCAAGCAGAAACTACGGAATGAGTCCCTCTTGCTGAGGGTGCCCTTGGTGATTAATATCTCTCGTATCTTTTCATAGGTCTTTTTGTTAGAATCACGTTCTTATATTTTGTATCCATTCTGCTCAAAGCATTTGACATCCCAATTCTGGTCTTCAGAATGGGTGTTTAAGCCCTTCACCTTCACATCATCCACAACTGAGAGGAGCACACAGTCAAGAATGGCGTTCTTATGACAGTGGTTTAAAATGAATGAATACCAAGTGGATAGCAAACAAAGACAAAGGTATTCTCCTGTATTGGTTCTTACTAAAAATGAATAATTACTAATACTACAAATCCTCCTTTTGTCAGCTGACAGATGAAGGTTTCAGCACTTAACCGGGTTACGACTGGAAGACCCAGAAGAATTGTGTCTGAACAACTGTGGAGAAGATAAGGCTGTAGCAGAGAAAACAGTCAGCATGGGTTACAGAAACCCACTGCGACGTGGACCAAGAAGTCATGTTAGAGAAACATATTGCAGAAACAGAGCCAGGTTCGTTTCAGCCTTCCCTGAGGCGATCATTGAAATTAGAAGAATCTGTCATTTTAGATCATCTGGAATAGCACTGCCAACGTGCAATTGTGTTCCTAAGATATCAACTGTGTTCGCTAATTTAGCTTGCAGAAAGCCATGTGGGATCTCCCATTACAGTAAAAAGTCCCATGGTCATTTTAAATCCATGTCTGGTTTTCTCAGCTTTGTCTTCAGCCTCACTGTCAAGCTGGACAGTTCCCAGAGAACTCCAGCCCATTCTGTCTAGTCTGACTGGAAGCCTCTGGCCCTTCGCTGGCTCATTCTCAGTGTTTTCATGGGTCTGCTGAGCCACCCTACAGTGAAAACACATGAGGAGGTTAAGAGTGTAAGTCAGTTGGTAAAGTGCTTCCCTTAAAAGCACTAGGGAGTGAGTTCAACCCAAAAAAAATCTCACTTTAAAAGAAGCTGGGCACAGTGACGCATGCATGTACACTCAGTACTGGGGAGACACAGACAGGCAGATTGCTGGGATTTGCTGGACAGCCGGACTGGCCCATTTGGAGCATTCCTGGTCTCAATGAAAACGAAAACAAAAACAAAATTAATGTCTTGTGTCCAAGGTATGACACCTGAGGTTGTCCTCTGACCTCTACACGCACCTGCGTGCAAATGTGCACCTGTAGTGGCATTTCATTTGTATTTTAATAAATAAAGCTTGCCTGAAGATCAAAGACTAAAACAACCCCACTGGTCAGCCTTACAGACCAGGCAGTGGTAACACACACCTTTAATCCCAGCAGCCACATTAGTTACCATAGAAACCAGGCAGTGCATGCCTATAATCCCAGACCTAGCAAGGATTACAAAATGGGAGGAGACAGCTCTCAGACAGTCTCATTCTGAGATTCCTGGAGGCAGGATCGCCGTTTCGGACTGAGGTAGAGGTAAGAGCCAGTCGCTGGCTGCTTTGTTTTTCTGACCTTCATATTGAACCCATATTTCTCTCTCTGAGTTTTTATTAATTGTGCTTCCTACACCCAACAAGCATAAACTTCCACTCACTGAGAAGCACATCTGTGTGCACGTGGATTCCACACCATCAGTGTTGATCAGGCAAAGGCCTTCTTCACGTGCCACTTTTTTCTCAGCTGTGTTGAATTATTCAATCACTTTTATTACCACAATTCCTGTAGATTGAGAAGGACAAGGTCCTGCTACAGTCATGAAGCATGCTTGTGCAGGAAACGGGACTCAGTAGCTCCTGAGTCAGGAGCAAAATCGAGAGCACTTTGAGTTTCCATTTTCTGCAGTTATTCTCGATACTGAAAAACAACTGCCCTTCTCTTCAGATTAAAAACAAGCAAACATCCCTCCTCTCACTCCTTGCTTCATCCCAGCCCTCAACCCCACCCGCCAACCCCTGCTAACAAGTCCCCTCCTGCCAGGGCAACAAGGAGGCTGAAGGCAGACTTCTCCTTCTGCTCCCCCAGATCCAACCACCCTAGTCTCATCCCCAGCTCTGTAGCAGATCACCTGCTGCAGTCTCCCTTTCCTCTCTGACCCCATCCTGAAGAAACCACAAAGATCTTCTCCCCAGTCCTTCCTTCCACCAACCCATCCCAGTATCCAGACTGCAACACCAGCAGACATTCCCTGTGAGCACACCAGCCTAGCAGGCCAGGGAAACGGAGAAGCTAACTGAAGACTTTCACCATTCCCTCCTCTCCTCCGAGACCAATTCCCTACTCCCATCCTTATCTCTGCAGCAGAATGTCTGCTGAAGCCTTCCTTCCTCCTCTGCTCACACCTCCTGTGGGTCCCAAAGACCTTCCCCTCAGCCTCTCTCTCCCCACTTGGTTTATCCCAGCCCCAACTGCCAAACTCCCTGCTAACACAGACCAACCCTGCCAGGGAAATAGGTATACTGTCTGTAGATCTTCCTTTCTCCTTCTGTTCCCCTAGATACAACACCCCTGCTCATCCCCAGCATGCTAGCAGAACCTCTAAGGTGACCTACCTTCATTGTCTCCCCCAATGCCAAGGAGATGAAATAACCAGATCTTGGTGGGACCCTGCTCTCCTTTCTCCTGTGAACCCCTTTAGACTCCCAGCCTATCCCTATTCCTAATTGTCAACCCCCCCATACCCAGAAATGATGGGGAACCTCAGCCAATCACATTCTGCTTAAGGTGTGTCCCCCTGGAGCCACACAAAACAAATAAAAGACCAAAGTGCCTTGCCACTTCCTCTTGCTTGGCCCCTGTG